AGCGTTCGTAAGCGTCAAGAGGTCGGCCCAATTTAGACCTCCGATTAAATTGGATCGATAAGCCAAATGGGATTGGATTGGATCTGATTCACATGGACAGGATAATCCCGTGCATTAAGGAAGCCCGTCATAAATGTCAACTAGAGGAGGAAGAGGAGGAGGAGGAGGAGGAGGAGGAGGAGGAAGAAGAAGATTGTGGGTCCTTGTTGCTCTCTGAGCTGGGTGGTTTCCTTGCAGATGTTTCATTACCCAGTTAGGTAATGGTGTCAGTGCTAGAAGAGAATGGGGTGTGTGGAGAGAAGGAGAGGGAGGAGAGAAAGGAAAGGGAGGAGGAGGAGGAGGAGGAGGAGGAGGAGGAAGATTGTGGGGTCCTTGATGTTCTCCGAGCTTGGTTGTTTCCTTGCAAACATTTCATTACCCAACTAGGTAACTTCATCAGTGGCAGAAAGGGATGGGTTTTGCTCTCTGTTTCTACACAGTCTGTTCTAGCACTGATGAGGGCTACTCCGTTGAGGTCTCCAGACTTAAATCATCATCTGATCATGGATGGGAGATTCCGTGTTGGGAGACGTGGCTTTCCCTTACTCCTTCTGGTTTCTGACTACCGTGGGGAACACGTATGCATTTGTTACCGCCTTCCTGGGCCTCGCCAAGGGCTCCGAGACTCCATTCTAGGAGGGTACCGTTGTTTCACAAAGGACACAGCCGTCCAGATTACTCCCAGCCTGCGCCATCTGGATCTCCTTAGAATTATGGCCCCACAACATCTGGAGGCTTATCTGTTTCTCCTCCCTGGACAGCTACCCGAAAAGCTGGCACTCACATATATTTTAAAGCAATGCTCGTCCACGGGAAATTAAAAACAACAACAACAAACCAACCTCAGAGCATTCCAAGCTGAGAATCTGCAAGCAAAATAGGAGACAATCCATTTAATAATGCCTGCTAGACGGACAAAGCGCAGTGGTAAGTGTGGGGAAAACAGTCCTAAGTCACTTTTTTTCAGCCCCGTTGCAACTTTGGACGGTCACTAAATGAACTGTTGCAAACTCTTGAAAACCACTAAAGAAATTCTTCCTTTCAGAGGCAGAGCTTCTATCAACAGAAATCTTTTGTGTGTGTGTGTGTGTATGTCATCTCAAACTTTTGGGAAGCAATAGCCATTGGTTCATGTTTTTCTACCCTATTTCCTGGATTATTATTATTATTAACACGCTCTGATGCTAAGGAGTTCTACTTCCCCTCCCCACCTGAAAAGAAATCTCTTCCAAATGCAAAATACCAGCAGAGGAAAGGAATTTCAGTTTTAGTTTCACAGCACCAAGAAGCTTTAGTACAGAACAGTTGAGCTAAGTCACACCCAGGCTCCTTGCTGTCTCCTTCTTGCTCACATAGCAAATACTCTTTCCATTTCCAAACAGCCCTCAACTCTCTCACAGGCTGACAGGACGCTGCGGGTAGGCAGAGGCACAATTTTCCTCCCTTATTTTCCTCCCCCAAAACTAAGCCCAATCACATAGTTTCTTAGCGAAGCACAGGGATCGAGCTTGTGTGTGTGTGTGTGTGTGTGTGTGTGTGTGTGTGTGTGTATAAAACAGAAGCACAGCTGGAGTGAATCGGCATTTAAAATAATATTAAGTGCTGGAAACTCCATTATGGGCCGGCTAAAGAGCTTTTCTTCCAAAGGATTATATACCTCCACTTTGCTTTGCCAGTCTTCTATTTTCTTTTCATTAGCTCCCTCGGTTCCTACCCCACCCCCATCCCCAGGGCTTGCTCCAGGAGAGATGGAAGGGGGGGGGGAGGCGAAACTATTTGGGGTTGTACATTACTGGAGGCTTCAGTTGCTGTGGAGGTATAACACAGATCATCCATCATACGCGCCTGAGCAATCTCGGCCACGCCAAGTCATGGCGGGTAGAATTAACAGATGAAATTAAAGACATACTTTCCCCTCCGCTCTTTCTCTTGTCGTCCCCCTCCCGCTCCCCCATTTAAAAGGAAGAAGAAGAAGAAGAAGAAGAAGAAGAAGAAGAAGAAGAAGAAGAAGAAGAAGAAGAAGAAGAAGAAGAAGAAGAAGAAGAAGAAGAAGAAGAAGGTTGTACATCTCAAAGTCATGAAGCGGTGCTGTCCATCTCTAACAAAGGGATTAAAAGAATGCCCTCTGGCCTTCCCCTTTCTCACGCTAATGACTTCAGAGCCAATTAATGTGAAAAGTCGGGGTTCATATTCTGAAAGGGAGGAGGAAGCGATGGTGAGGACCGTCAGGTTGGCTGGGTGGAGGACGACCCGGGTCAAAAGGAGAGAGAGAGGGAGGGAGGGAGGAAAAAGAAAAGAAAGAAGAAGGAAGGAAAGAAGGAAGGAAGGAGGAAGGGAAGAAGGGAGAAGGGTGGGAAGGGAGTAAAGGAAGTAAAGGAAGAAAGAAGGAAGGAAGAAGGAAAGGAGGAAGGAGGAAAGGGAGGAAAGGAAGGAAGGAAGGAAGGAAGGAAGGAAGGAAGGAAGGAAGGAAGGAAGGAAGGAAGAACTCTTCCTGTTAAATTCAATTTCTGCTAGAGACAGATACCCTGTGAACGTCCAGCTGGAACTCCACGTCTCTTACTCTATTGGTAACCACTTGCTTTGGCTAACCGTGGTTCTCGAGCTGTGGTCTGCGGACCCCTGGGGGGAAGGGTTGCAATGACATCACAGAAGGTTATGATTTAAATCTTGAGTTAAGTTAAACGACATTGAAAAGGGGTCCATGGTGAGGGAAGCTTTGAGACTCCTCATTGGAGACCCTCAATGTCTTTACACTCTCTGCCCACACCTGCCAATCGTAACCACGCAGCCAACGGCGGGCCCTAAAAAGTCGAACCGAGGCATCCCACGCCTCAGGATTGGCTAGCACTGCAGTGACGTCACGGAAGCCTATAACCCATCCTCTTCTCCTCCACCGCTTCTTCCTCTTTGCAGAAGCGAAGGGTTTGGAAAAAGCCAAAAGGAGAGATGGAGGGGCGGGGGGAAAGAGAGAGAGATTTAGGACTTCAGAGCCTGGCGCTAATTGTACGAAGGGTTAAGCTCAGCCTTCACGGGATTACGCACTAACTACTTAGCCGGAGGTGCAAGGCGGGTGGGGAAGTTTGTCATGGGCCATTGACTTCCTGTCAAAAAACATGCCGCAGCCATTAATTGTCATATGACATGTTCAAAGAGGGGGAGAAGGTGAAAAGAAAAAGGGGGAAAAGAAAAAAAGGGGGGAAGGGGATGCCAACAAGGCATGCTAAAATGCTGGAGTCGCCTTAGATCTTCTCCCAGGTGCAGGATAGGATGGAAAGAAATTGAGAGGACATGTTTTTCTGCCCCTAACAGAAGTAAAATTGAACCCCTGGCATGGTAGATTTGAAAGCAGCTCTCTGGATCAAATAGTCAATGGTGCAACACCCCCTCACACACACACACCCAAAAAATCACTCAAGGAATTTGTCGATGACAGGTGGCTGTTGGAAGAGCCAAGGAGAGAATGGGATGGTCTTGTTTTTTTTGAGAAAGTCCAGAAATATTTCACAAGAAGAGTTCTCCACTCCTCTACTCGTTGCAGAAGACCTTATGCCACCAGACTCGAAACTCTAGACCTAGAAAACCTACAACTATGCTGCCTTCGGTCTGATCTAAGTATGGTATATAAAATCATACATTGCAATGTCCTACCTGTCAATGAATACTTCAGCTTCAATCACAACAACACAAGAGCACACAATAGATACAAACTCAAGGTAAACTGCACTAAACTTGATTGCAGGAAATACGACTTCAGCCACCGAGTGGTCAATGTCTGGAATCCTCTACCTGACTCTGAGGTTTCTTCCCCAAACCCCCAAAACTTTAACCTTAAGACTGTCTTCTATTGACCTCACCCCTTTCCTAAGAGGTCTGTCAGGGGGCGTGCATAAGCGCACCAATGTGCCTACCGTCCCTGTCCTATTGTTTCTTTTATTTTTCTTATATATCTATCCATGTATTCATAACTTCTTTTCTGGAGTCTGTTTTATTCCCTTTGAATACACAAACTGAAAAGCTGAAACTTTTCACTTAAAAACTCCATGCTATTATTTTATTTTATTTTTTTTTACAGAAAAAAAAAAATCCGGAAGTTATCGCCAGTCAGTCCTACACAGCTCTTCAACATCTCCCTGGAGTATTTTCTTCACAATTTGTTTTTTAATGGAAATCTATCAAGAGTGACCCCCAAGGAGATACTTTCAACATTGCCATTTTTGTAAACAGAGACGTCTCGCTTCAATTTCTCTCTCCCTCTCTCTCACTTCCTATCTCAGGATCCCAAATTTGAAAGATGTCGTGTTCTGCCGTTGCCAATAAAGTCACAGACTCCACATTGTGACACATGGAATGTTATTAATTGTCAATCACAAACTGCTTGTTTTGTCAAGATGTTCTCTTTCCAGCAAGCTGCTTGAAGACCTGAAGAGATTTTTAATCAAATGTTAATAATGCGGCATCTGTCGGCAGCTTGTGATAATAAAAAGGAAACACGATGTGGCTCTTTTTCCACTTTATCCTCCTTTTTTTATTATTATTATTTTAAAGTTCTCCAAGCGTCAAACGTCGAGAAGGCTGAAATGTGGCATTTCGTTGCTCCCAAGTTGCAAAGTTCTAAATACGGGCAATTCGTTTGCAGAAGTTTTGTGGCATTTGAATTTTCGTTGATGTCACACATTTGTTTGAAATTCTAGGGCGATTCTCAGTCATCCAGGTCATCGGTTGTCCCAAAGGTGCTTATTGCAAGAGGCAAGTGGACTTTCTTGTTTTTTTTCCTTTTTGCTGCTCATCCAAGTTGCTGCTCATCCAAGAAGCGTCTTCAGCTCTGACTGTGAATGGTGGGGAATGGAAGGATTGATACTCCTTGCAGACAGCTGGTCATTTGCATCCTTTTAGAGGGTTGTTGAGGCCACTTGGATGTTTATTTGTGTCCTCAGGGTCACTTGAGTTAGTGCTCCTGTTTCTCATAGGTTGCAATTTTTTTCCTCCGGAAATCCCTTCCTACTCCCACGCCATCCCAAGGGTGTTCATCCCAAATTGTATAGCTAAAAGTTTGTAGAGATTCTCAGTCATCCAGCTCATGGTTGTCCCAAAGGTGCTTTCTATAAATCCTTCCATTCCCCGCTATCCTGTCAGAGCTGAAGAAGCTTCTTGGAGGAGAAGCAAAACGTCTTCAAAAAGATTTGTTTGAAATGCGTTTCAACATCTAGCACCGAGTGGGTTTTGCTGTCATTTTAAGTGTGCGTGTGTGTGTGTAGTCCTCAACTTACAACAGTTCACTTAGTGACCGTTTTTAATTACAACGCCACTGATAAAAGCGACCCAAGGTGAATTTTCACTCTTGCAACCATGGAAAGCAAAAGAAGGGAAAAGAGAGACAAGCTGCACAGCGCGCTCTGAATTCTTGGCCCATCGATCTTCCACAGGTTCTGCATCATTCAGACGTCGGCTCTCTAGATTCGATCTGAACTTGGGTGGGATTTATCATCCCGAAATGCAGTTCCGGAGCCATCCTTTGCTCCCTGCCCCATCGTTACTTATGAGGCTCAACTTTGTAATGTTAATTCTGCGGTGTGTTTTTTGGAGATATTTTACAGCATTTGGCTGAAGCCTCTTTTTAATCTGCTTCCCCGTTTATGTCCACCTAAATTATCTTCCCTTCTATGGGATGAGGCGTGTGCCAGAGCCGGCCATTCATCAGGTTGATTCTTCATGCAGATGAATTTCGAACATTTAATAAAGTTTCTTCCACTTGCTTACGGAGAACCCAACCGCTCTCTCCGCTTCGAAGAGGACTCCAGTGCGATCAGATCTTAGCGAGGGAGCAGCTTCATTCCAGATCAGCATGTCCACATGTTAGGATGATCACATATCAAGAAATCATCCTCCTAACCTAACATAAGGCCACCTTCTCTTGGCTTGTTCTCTCAATCTCATTTTCTATTGCTAATTCTGGCACTGAAGAAGCTTCTTGGATGAGAAAGGAAAAGTTTTCTTTTTTTTTTCTTTCTTGAAAAGTTTTCAAGGGGAAAAAAAAACCAAGGACGTTTTGGAAAAGCACATTTGGGATAATTCTGGCAAAGTTCACCCCTCCTTCTGGCTCTAAATAATGGTACTAAATAAATCATATGAAATCTTCCTCTTCTTCTGAAGAGGAAGGAAGAAGGAAGAGCAGGAGGAGAGGAAAAGGAGGAAGGAGGAAGAAGAGGAGGAGGAGGAGGAAGAAGGAAGAAGAAGGAGGAGGAGGAGGAAGGAACAGGAGGAGGAAGAAGGAGCAGGAAGAGGAGGAGAACAAGAAGGTGAAGGAGGAGAAGGAGAAGAGGAAAAGGAGGAAGGAGGAAGAAGAGGAGGAAGGAGGAGAAGGAGGAGGAGGAGGAGGAGGAGGAGGAGGAGGAGGAGGAAGAGGACAAGAAAGTCAAGAAGAAGAAGAAGAAAGGCAATAAAAATGTTAGATGGTTTGATATTCAAACAGGCAGTCAAATATTGCCACAATAATTGGCAAAATCAGAAAAATCAGCAGGCTGCTGTTATATATGGAGAAAGATGGCGAACTCTGAGATTCTTTCAAATCCCTTTCTTGGTCAAGAGTGATGGATGCTGAAGTAACGAGAGGCACGGATCATTTTAGAAAGCCCCAAACAGATATCTTAAAAGTCCTGTACCCAACAAGTTTGAAAACCAAGAAGCGTGAAAGATGGATAACAAGATGAGAATGGAAAGAGGGGAGTGAAGGAATCGGTGGAATTACGAAAACACAACACCGGAAACTTTGAAGGAACATGAAAATCAAGGTGTAACGAAAAACATCCTCTTTTTTTTTTTTTAATCTCCACTTTTTTTAGGATTCTGTTTTCTTTTTAATTGCCAACTACAATGCCATCATTTTTTTTCTCTCTTTCTCATCTCTGATGAACTTCAACGTCTGATAATGACTCTCCATTAAAGAGAGAGAGAGAGAGAGAGAGAGAAGATATGAGGAAGAGAAACCAAGTTGAGCCAAGGAGATGATTAAAGGACCTTATTAAACGCAAGCTTGTAGAATTTCTTCACATGAAGGCAAGCACCATTATGGAGACTTATCCTTATAAATGACACTCTGGTTTTGTGAACGCGTGGAACCCTGATTGGAGTGGCAAGTACTGAGTGATACCGCAAACCTGTTAATAACATGAAAATTAGAAAAGGCTCATGCAAAGAAGAGAGATTAATTTAGCCCGGGAACATCTCACACAAATTGCAAAGTTATGAATATGTTCTTGAGATAATGAGCCTTCCGAACTATCAAACTGCTTGTCATTTTCTGTAATTAATGTTAAGGAAGACTCCTTCCTGATGGTTCGTATTACTCATATACCAAGAAAATTTCTTCAGAGAAATAATTTACATTTATTATCATCGGTCTGTTTGTGTGCTTTATTTCGTGGTGGAGTAATTTATGGCAGCACCGTTTCACTCGCCTTGATTAGTCACTTGTCCGCCTGAAATGTAATTTTTATTTTTTATTTTATTTATTTATTTTTGGCATGCGCTCTCGTTCTCTCCCTCTCCCTGCCTTTCTCTCCCTCCCTCTCTCCCTCCCTCTCTCTTCTCTCTCTCCCTCTCTCTGTCTTTCCCTCCCCCCCTCTCCCCCCCTTTTTTTCTCTCTCCCGCTCTGTCTCTCCCCCCTCTCTCATTCCCTCCCCTTCTCTCTTTCTCTCTCTTCCTCTCTCTTTCTTTCCCTCCCCTCTCTCCCTCTCTCTTCTCTCTCTCCTACACTCTTTCTCTGTCTCTCCCTCTCTTTTTTCCTCCCTCTCCCTCTCTCTTCTCTCTCTCTCTCTGTCTGTCTCTCCTCCCCCTCTTTTCCTCTGCCTCTCACACATAAACAATTTTCCTGGATTTATCCACTGTCGTTTGCTCTTCATTACCGCCCACCCCCGGCCCCGATTCATCTGTCCCTATCCACATTTTGGAATAACAGATCTCAGATTCGAATAATTCATCTGAACGGAATAACAGAATTGGAAGGAACTTTGGAGGTCTTCTAGTCAACCCCACCACCAGATCAGGCGAGAGACTCTATCCCATTTCAGACAAGTGACGGTCCAGTTTCTTCTTAAAAACCTCCAGTGATGGAGCTCCCACAACTTCTGGTGGCAAGGAGTTCCACTGGTGAATTGTTCTAACTGCCAGGAAATGTCTCCTTAATTCTAGGTTGCTTCTCTCCTTCTTCCCATCTGTTGCTTCTTGTCCTGCCTTCTAAAGGTGCTTTGGAGAATAGCTTGACCCCGTAATTCTAATATTGGAAGGCTGCTATCATGCCGCCCCTATCACATCCTTCTTTTCATTCAACTGGACCTACCCAATTCCAGCAACGGTTCTTCATAAGTTTTAGCCTCCAGCCTCCCTAATCATCTGGGTTTCTCTTCTCTGTACTTTTTCCAGAGTCTCCACATTTTTTTTTTAAAAAAAATTGTGACTATCCAAATTGGATGCAGTATTCCAAGTGTGGACTTACCGAGACATGGAGAGGGGAGATAGAGAGAGAAAGAGAGAAAGAGAGAAAGAGAGAAAGAGAGAAAGAAAGAAAGAAAGAAAGAAAGAAAGAAAGAAAGAAAGAAAGAAAGAAAGAGGGAGGGAGAGAGGGGAAACCCCAGCTCTCAACAGCTTCAGCTTTCTCCTTTTTGTCAGCTTTATATTTATTGTGATTACGTTTATTCTTTTTATAACCTTCTCGTAGGCCATTCTGAGAGCTTTATCATATCGTGGGCATTAAAAAAAAAAAAACAACCCGGAGAGATTTAAAATAAAAATAAATAGGAAATGCCACCCAAAGTAACAGCTCAGGCTTCTGCGGGATGAGTAAACCACATTTCAAAATCTTGTCAGGAGGAGAAAATTAAAAGTGGCCTGTTTTCATCTCGATTTGCGGGGTGAGGACAGGTGCTTAGGGTCCAGCCGAGAGCGTGGATGGCCAATCTGTTGCCCGTCATCTGTGGAAGATCAATCTAATCTCACCCGTCCCTTGAACTAATTTCCAAAGCCTTCTTGCAAGCAACGTTGCAGACATCAGGGAAGGTTAAACAATGATGGGTCCCCAGTCTCTAAGCCCTGATTCAATTTGGGTCGGTTTGCAGCTGCTTCCCATTACATATTTGGTGGTCTTGGACCCTTTGTAGCAACCGTGCAGGTGCTGCAAGCAGACATTAACACCCCCTGCCCCATACGCACCTGAGCCCATCTGGTAAGGAATTTATGAAGCCTTCCTTAGCCCAAAGCCACGTCAAGCTCATTTGAAAGCCACCTCAAGGTAGCTCAGCCACGTTGTTCATTCTTACTGTACCATATATAAAACATCGGTACGGTTTTGAAAACCAGAACTGAACTCAAGGGGAGGAAGAGAGGGTGGAGAGGAGGAGGAGGGGAGAAAGAGGGAGGATGAGGAGGAGATAGGAGAAGGAGATAGGGGAAGGGGAAGGAGGAGAAGAAAGAAGAGGAGAAGGAGAGAAGGAGAAGAGGAGAAGGAGAAAGAGAAGATAGGAGAAGGAGATAAGCAAAGGGGAAGGAAATAAGGAAAGGGGAAGGAGGAGGAGAAGGAGGATGGAAAGGAGATGTGAGAAAGGGATGGGGATAAGGAAAGGGGAAGGAAATAAGGAAAAGGGAAGGAGGAGGAGAAAGAAGAGGAGGAGAAAGAGAAGGAGATAAGGGGGAGGAGGAGGAGGAGAAAGAGAAAGTGAAGATGGAAGAAGGAGATAAGGAAAAGGGAAGGAGGAGGAGGAGGAGATGATTTGGGACATCTGAAAAATAAAGATAATCTCTTATCCTCCTTTTTCATAACTGTCGATGAAGCCAAGTCAAGAACGCCAGAAGGGATCTAAAAATGTGGAACAGGGGAACCAAAACAATCCAGAGAATGAGAAAGGCAACTCTCTTTAGGCTACTTCATCTAATTTTATACCTGTGATTTTATTTCTGTCCCCTAAGAACTTTGTATTTCTCTCTGCTAAATTTCACACTGCTATTTTCAGCCTATTTTCTTTAACCAATCAAATTCTTTTTGAGTTTTACTTCTGCCTCCTAGGTATCACGCCCAATTTGTGTCAGATTATCCCTAAGTAAAAAGTGA